CTATAAATATTATAATAGTAATAGTACTAGTAGTATACTATACTATTATATTACTATAAATATTATAGTACTAATAGTACTAATAGTATACTATACTATTATAGTACTATAAATATTGTAGTACTAATAGTACTAATAGTACTAATAGTGATTACTACGTCGATATTAAAATACGGTATACTGGGCATAAACGGTTGGAAACGGAACGTGTGGAACGTGTACAAAAATGTGCAGTTTAAAAAAATAACTTTGATCCGCATTTAATGTAATTGTCCGTGAGGATGGTTGTAACACGAACAAGAAAGCATGAACAAAAATGCAAACTCTATTGAAGGACTATATCGCTCTTTCTTTTTAATCGAGAATCTTATTTTTAATATTTCACTGTTTCATTTTTCGTTCTCCTCTGCAAGTGTGTTACGCGGAAAGCAATTTTGTCCGTTTCTGATTAAAACAGGTGACGGAAGCGTTGAACATTTCGGAATCCGTTCGCTCTTAAATTGCTCGGCTCCTAACGGATCGTTGAACCGGCAATTCAACCGTGACACTCGAACAATCCATTGTTTTGCGTTCACACTCAGTGCACATGGTTCGACTTGGTTCGACTTTTTTCGTGGCTCAGCTTCAGGGAAAGAGAGCACGAAAATGATGCAAATGCAAATCAGCCGCCGAGAACCGCTCCTGTCCGGAATCCGCAATACGCGTTTGCATCGATTTATGACGTAATATAGTACTTTGGACGCGGTTCTCTCGTTTCTGGAACTTGGAAAAAATCTGGTACAATTTTTTGTTTCGGAACGTATCGCTACGGAATCGAACGTAAACATTTCAAAGTGGGCCGGGAAAGCGTCACCATGATGCGCAAGTGTTACGAATTTTACATGTATTAACGTAGCTATTCCATTATATCCTAGGCAATAAATAATTCACCGCTATCGAGAATCTGGGGTAATATAGAATTTTACTCGCTGCATTGATGACATCGATATTTTAAATGTAGAACAGTAGAAGTACGGTTCTAAATTCGAGTTTGCATTGCATTCGAACGTTACTTTCGCCTATTTTTTTAATGAAAAAATAGTGCATCGAAATTGGTTTGATACACCTATATTGGTCTTCGATCTCTTCGAAAATAAATATAAGGTTTATTATAACGCAATAGAGTACGGATTAGACGTGATTTGGATGCCAAGTTAGATGACACAATGAATAAATATTAAGCCAATTAGCCAAGTAAAGCTTTGAATTGTTGTTTAAAAATTCAGGACACCTCTGATTCATTAATAGTTAAATATACGAACACTTTTTAACTGAAAAGTAATTTTTCGCAAACGTTCTTTTTGCCTAATGAGATACATGAGAAAATATGTAGTAAGGTATTTTATAAAATGATACCATTTTTGGGACTATTTTTTAGATGGCTACCAGACACGTACTCGTTTACTTCATTTTGTCAATGATGACGACAGCAGTCATTTGCCAGACGTTCCAATACAGTCACGGCTGGACGAACGGCAAAAGATCCATGCTGGAAGAGCTCGCGAATTCCGCTGGCAAGAATTCGCATCAATTAGACAATGTCCTTGTCGACTGCGAGCTACAGAAGTTGAGATTATTGCTTCAAGGAAACGCTAACAGTCAAGTAAGTAACGTTGCGCTTAATGTTCGTACTAGCCGAAGTTGCTTCGCCATAAATTTGCCTCCTAATCCGCCATTTTGGTCCGCGAGACTCTCGTTCGCCATTTTGGTTCGCGATTTGCTTCTATTTTTAAAATTCTTCGGATTCGGTAAAGTAAACGATATTATTAGAATAATGGATAATAGTACAATTATTTTAGTTAGTTTAAATCTCTAGCTAACAGTCAAGTAAGTAACGCTGCGCTTAATGTTCGTACTAGCCGAAGTTGCTTCGCCATAAATTTGCCTCCTAATCCGCCATTTTGGTCCGCGAGACTCTCGTTCGCCATTTTGGTTCGCGATCTGCTTCTATTTTTAAAATTCTTCGGATTCGGTAAAGTAAACGATATTATTAGAATAATGGATAATAGTACAATTATTTTAGTTAGTTTAAATCTCTAGCTAACAGTCAAGTAAGTAACGCTGCGCTTAATGTTCGTACTAGCCGAAGTTGCTTCGCCATAAATTTGCCTCCTAATCCGCCATTTTGGTCCGCGAGACTCTCGTTCGCCATTTTGGTTCGCGATCTGCTTCTATTTTTAAAATTCTTCGGATTCGGTAAAGTAAACGATATTATTAGAATAATGGATAATAGTACAATTATTTTAGTTAGTTTAAATCTCTAGCTAACAGTCAAGTAAGTAACGCTGCGCTTAATGTTCGTACTAGCCGAAGTTGCTTCGCCATAAATTTGCCTCCTAATCCGCCATTTTGGTCCGCGAGACTCTCGTTCGCCATTTTGGTTCGCGATCTGCTTCTATTTTTAAAATTCTTCGGATTCGGTAAAGTAAACGATATTATTAGAATAATGGATAATAGTACAATTATTTTAGTTAGTTTAAATCTCTAGCTAACAGTCAAGTAAGTAACGCTGCGCTTAATGTTCGTACTAGCCGAAGTTGCTTCGCCATAAATTTGCCTCCTAATCCGCCATTTTGGTCCGCGAGACTCTCGTTCGCCATTTTGGTTCGCGATCTGCTTCTATATTTAAAATTCTTCGGATTCGGTAAAGTAAACGATATTATTAGAATAATGGATAATAGTACAATTATTTTAGTTAGTTTAAATCTCTAGCTAACAGTCAAGTAAGTAACGCTGCGCTTAATGTTCGTACTAGCCGAAGTTGCTTCGCCATAAATTTGCCTCCTAATCCGCCATTTTGGTTCGCGATCTGCTTCTATTTTAAAAATTCTTCGGATTCGACAAAGTAAACGATATTATTAGAATAGTGGATAATAGTACAATTATTTTAATTAGTTTAAATCTTTCTTTGCAGTTGATCCAACTTCCTTGTGAATTGTTCTTCTCTGCAAAAAGAAATTTAGCGGAATCCGTGGACAACGTCGACCACTTCCGGCGACAGGCTACTCCTATCAACAATAATTATTAAATCTCTCCATCGAATGTTTCTTTCCGGATTAGATCAAATCGATTGACATTCTACTCTGACGAAATAAAAACCTGTACCTACGAAGCTTTCTTATTTATCTTCCATTTCTACAATTGTTATGCCCCTTCCAACTTACGCAGATTATACGAAAATTACAGATTCAAATGATATTTGTATAAAATAATTAATGGATCGTAGATCTTTGCGCGCAATCCCATTTTCGTTTAGTTTGAAACATTTCTCGTGGAGAACGTAAAATAGAAATGTCATTAGCGTTTGATAGCATAAACATCGTCGTGCACCTTAAAAATTTACAAATAACACAATTGCAGATATAATAATTTATTATAACGAATAAAGGCTTAGGCTTCTAGTCATGCTTAGGATTAAGTCTTCCATTCATTAACCGTCGACAAAATATGAACTATTAATTGATCGAACTATTTCAATTCGTTTCTCAGACTTCTCTTCTTTTCATAGTTAGCATCATTAGACCGTCCGTTATTAAACGTTATTTTATATCTTCTGTTAAGATAAAAATAAATTAACTTTTCAAATAATCTAATTTATATTTAGCGTCGTCTTCTGCATACAAATATTTAACCACTGTCCATTTACTTGTATAATATAGTTTGATAAATATTTTCTTTCGAAAAGAAAATCCATGTTAACCCGAGAAAGATAACCTACGTCGCAGAGGCGCCTGCGAAGACTGTTGATTTTTGTTAATTTTTCATAGAGGTCTAGTGATTTAAGTTTAAAATTACTTAAAATATAAAAAAATATAATATAAATGCATTTTATTTTTACAATAATGCCAAACCTTTAAAATGACCAGATTAACTTAAATAAATATCCATTGTTAGTATAAAATTGACGCCTTAGAAAAGCATGCGCCTCTGAAGCGTATGGTTATCTTTTACGTACGTTGTCATATGGTTATCTTTCTAGGGTTAAAAATGTCTCTATATTTTTAATTAATAACTTGGATATTACTCGCCGTAAAACGTAATTACTGTCGCTCGATAATGCCAGATACCTACACAAGATTTTGATAGAAAAATCGTCGTCGTAAAAATAGCATTTCTCGCGCGAATCGTGGCCGAAACCGAACTTGTTATTTTCGACCACGGTGCTCCCTATAAAACGCGAATCCGCGATAATTAGCGAGCGCGCGAGCGTACGTTTACAGCACGCCGGCGAACAATCAATCGCCGATAAATGAATAATTGAGCCGTATATAAGGTAGTTGTGCACCAGACACCGGCCCCCTACGAAGATCAATTGTTTATCAATCATTGTTAGCGGCTAATTGTTTTTACCGGAACGCCGCACACCTGGATTTGTATTAATTATCGAGTTTTCACGGGTCCATCCGCAGGGCCATCCAGTTTTCATCGAGTCCATCCGAACGGTTAATTAAGTTTTCGCTGTCCTAATTGGACAGACGGTCAATAGGATAGATCGCGACGGCCGTTGCTGCACGGCGTAGGGGATTTTGTCTGTCAACGGAAGATGGAGTGAAACCCTGGCGAATCGAGACACCTGCTGAGTCCGTGGATTATCCCCACGGGCAACTTATCTCAAACTGCAATTCGGCACACCTCGATTCCGCGGAGACTTTATATTTCTGCGTGGCCGATAAAATCGTTGTCGAAAATGACGCGGGTAGATTCGCCCGTAACATCGCGTTTCGGCCGATCAAAGAAATAAAAAGGTGCGCGCACGGTTCCTACGGCGGATTCGCGAAATGATCTTCCCAGATCAGCTGTTATTAACGCTGTCTGCCGGTTAATTCTTGAATTCTTGGCCGGCCGATGCTGGGGCCCGTTCGCGCACTATCTCTAAATACGCAATGAATTTGTAATTTTGAAAGAACGCTCGTCGTCGGTCATTTGCGTCCGATCGACTGTAAATATTTAACTGTTCACGGTTTAATCGTTTCGTCGGAAAATCGTCGTTTCGTTTTTTCTTTTGTTTTGTTAGAAATTCTTGGGCATCGCACAATGTTAGTCGTAATTATTTATTTGCAGTGCTCTTTGATTACGCGTAGCATAAATGCAGTAGTAAATTCTCCCTAATTGACGCTCAGATTGTACCAAAAAAATGGATAATTTGAGAAGAGGAAATACCGATTGTCAACAGTGTTTCCACTTCCCAAAATTGTCCATTCTTGTTTCCAAGCTGAGGGTCAATTAGGGAGAATTTACTGTAGTCAAAATGACCGTTTTATAATTGCTGATATTACGAAAATGCATCTATAAGAAATATTTAGATAAATCTTTTCCTTCAAACGTATATTACAATAGAAATTGTACAAAGTTTAAATAAATCTAATCTTGGCATTGCTATGAAACAATGTACATAAATCGCGTTTAGGCTTCGATAGTTCTAGCGCTAACTAAGATTATGTCAAGGTTTTATATGTATATAAAATAATAATAATATATAATATTATAAATATATTATATATAATAATAATATTATTATTATTTTATATTATATAATATAATTATATATATAATGCTAGGATTGGATTTATTTAAATTTTGTACAATTTCTATTGTAATATACATTTAATACAAATATAATACAAATATATAATATTTATTAATATTATATAAATATATACCTCCTCGCGTCGATTAGAGAGAATTTACCCAAACTCTTCGTGTATCCATTAACATTGTGATCTTCCGAAAATGAGAACGTCTGCGCAACAATCAAGATTGGAGGGAAAAGTTCGAAGGAAAGTATTTTCTAAACGGTAACATTCTAAATTATAACGAAATAACAGCTTCGGTCACGTAAATTCGCTGAATACAGATTTCAAGAAGATTGCTCGCTCTTGCAACATTTACGAAAGAACTTCCCCCTTAGCTTGAATTACCGATTAAACCGTTAAACTATTAAAAGCCGGCGAGAAAAAAAAGTCTAATTCGAATCTCGTTCGTGTCCCCGCGGGACGAAGATTCCCCCGGCCGTCGAAGACGAAAGAACCCGGATCGAATCTCGCGCAACTTTGGTTAATCTCGTCGAAATGTCACGAATCCCGGGTCGGTCGAATTCGCCTCGCGTCCCCGGCGTTAATAAGATACGTTGCTAATTAGAGATGCAAGAACAATGGCGGCTCGCGCGCGACCGTACTTGTTACAGACTCGAGCACTCACGGTTATTAGTTGATAGCGTCAGGCCGCGTATAACTATCATGCACGGGCAATGCACTTAAAACTTGGCTGTTAATCAGAAACCAATTACGGGAGGCGGGTTGAAATGAGTTTAATCGCATTAAATATTAAAGCGTCGTCACCGTGCCATGGGGACCGGGTGTACCGCCAGCCCCATAGGTGACCCTCTTCGAGCCAGCCGGTCTCATGGAGGAACGGCACGTGACCCCCTGCAACCATCCTCTGTCTTAATACCCTCGAGGATAACCGACGATCCCTACGCCAATGTCCTTTATGGGGTGGCGCCTGCCGTGTCTGCAATACGCATGCACCGTCGCTGCATTCGCCGATAATGTTTCTTTCCATTTCCGCGTGTGCACGAATCCGACGCCGTTTCGTAAGTCATCGGACACTTACCGGCTGCGTCTACAGGCTGTTGAAACGAACGGGTCGAATCTCTCTTTTAAGGATAGATTAATACTCGTCAAGCGGAAGAAAAAAGGTCCAACACGAGGAAAACAATTTTCTGTACAGTGATGGCAGGTAGTAAATTTGAGACGGAGAATTTTAACCCTTAGTATTTATTCTTTATTTAGTCTTTACCAGCAACTCCGGCACATTTTTGGAGCGGAGCGCCTGAGATAAAGGAAGTCTTATTTTGAATGGAAAAGATTACACGTCCTTGCGAATGCATTTGATATTTTATTTATTTTATAAATATACATTTTCCTATTGTAAATAAAAGATAAATTTTTCATTTTGTAATTCACCATGGTGCGATATCTTTGGTAACAATCTCCCATGTGCATTCTGGGATTACTTGGACAAGTGTCACAGTATTCGCTTTGCCAAATAGAGTTACTAGATATTTCTTTCGAGTTTAGAACATTTTCTGCGTAATTGTTGGTTTCCTTTATAATTTCATTTACCGATTCGTCCGTGAAAAATAATTTAAAATATTGTATCGGCTGTTCAATGTTTGTAGGAACTTCTGGTCCAATGACCTATGACAGTACGCTAAAATGTATTCTATCTGGAATATGTAATTCTTCCGTAACATCGCGCCATTCATCCAAGTCTTGTAACGAATCTTCGCTTTCACTTTCAATAATTCTCATTCTTCGTCTCTTTGGTAGTATAATTTCGCTACTACTACTCGAAGTGTCAGAATCATAACCAACATTGTCTTCCACAATGTCTTTTAACTCTTCAAAATCAAATACGTCTTCGGTATCGCTCGGCTCTAAATTCTCATCGTAATATTTATTTTTCTCCATGTTGCTAACCATAGAAAAGGTCAAAAAATGGTTTAATCGTAATGGTACAGACTTAGCACGTTTTAACTACAGATAACAATTGCTAACGCCGACGATAACGTATGCTAAAAACATTTGGCTCCGCAGCGGAGCCTTCGGAGTTACGGAACAAATGACAAATGTCTCCGTAGCGGAGTCTTCGGAGAGCTAAGGGTTAATTTCAATTACGGCAGAACTACATTTATTCGAACTCCGTGCGTTAGAAAGACACAAAAATGATCCCTTTTTATCGGGGAAGTTACAGTAATGTCTCCCTAACTGACGCTCAGATTGTGCACAAAAATGGCCAATTTGGGAAGAGGAGGTACGATTACTCGAGCCTTGCAGCTCGTTTTTATAGTTCTTGACAATTCATAACTATGGAGACGAATCGCAAGGTTTGAACAATCGTGTCTCCTCTTCCCGAATTGTCCATTTCTGTGATCAATCTGAGCGTCAATTAGAGAGGCATTACTGTATTGAGAAGCGCCGATCAACGTACAGTAATGTCTCCCTAATTGACGCTCAGATTACCTACAAAAATGGACAATTTAGGTAGAGAAGATACGATTATTCGAGCATTTTGGCTCGTTTTTATATCTATTGGCAATTGGTAACTATA